ATTGCCGTACGGACTACTTTTACGCAAACGCAAATTACAACTGCAAATTTCATCAGCACATTACATTGGCATAAAATTACATTACTACATGCTCGGATAACAGAGAAAATTAAGCATGAAATTTGCAGTTGTAATTTGCGTTTGCGTAAAAGTAGGCCGTACGGCAATTGTCATATCTTAGCGGGAATTTGAGTTATATTTAAACCGATAACTGCATTGAAAAGCGCTTGAAAAAATAGCATATTACATTGCATAAAATTAGATTACTACATACCCAGATGACTGAGAAAATTAAGCATGAAATTTGCAGTTGTAATTTGCGTTTGCGTAAAAGTAGGCCGTACGGCAATTGTCATATCTCTTAACGGGAATTTTAGGTATATTTAAACCGGTAACTGCATTGAAAAGCGCTTGAAAAATAGCACATTACATTGCATAAAATCAGATTACTACATACCCAGATGACTGAGAATATTAAGCATGAAAGTTGCAACATATCCGCGTTTTATCCTTATATCAAGCGTTACGAAGGTTCGAAAAACCCCGCATTTCCACATGTATTTTATCAACTTTTCGCGGACAATTTATTATGATTAATAATAGTCTTTTATAATATATCCTAATATATCCCTTTGAAGCCGTCAAATGAAGCCGTCCCCCCCGTCCATCCGTCCTCCCCGTCCATCCATCTGTCGCCCCCCCTCCCCCCCCCGTCCATCCGCCTCTTCCCCCGTCCATCCGCCTCTTCCCCCGTCCATCCGCCTGTTTTCCCCGTCCATCCGCCTGTCCCCCCTGTCCGTCCGTCCGTATCCGCATTTTTCGATTTTCCTGTAATTTACATTTTCGGCCGTTTCGTTTCGGCGGTTTCGTTTCGGTCGTTTCGTTTCGGTTGTTTCGTTTCGGTTGTTTCGTTTCGGTCGTTTCGGTGGTTTCGGCCGTTTCGTTTCGGTCGTTTCGTTTCGACGTTTCGCCTTTTAGTACATGCCAAACAAACATAACGGCTATTTATAGAAAGCGAAAGCCCATAACCTAGCAGTGCTTCCGCTTTAAAGAAAATTCTTTTTCCTTTTCTTTCTTGTATTTTATGTAAGATTACCTGATACGTCCGTGTTATTTGACAATTTTTGAGAAATATCAGCACTCGCGTGTATTAAGCTAAACTGCACTATCCGGCAATGTGGATAGTGGTAGCATAGGCGTACGGGAAGGAACTGATTAGGGGCAGTAAGAAATGTGCCCAACGTACTTTGTTACATTTTGCTCGACCAATAAAAAAATTGCGTTTAAAATTTGCTCAACTTCAATTTTTTTGCGCTACCACCCCCCGGTAGGGTCCGACCAAATCAGTAATTACTATTTTTGTAAATGAAAAATTGTTAGCAATATGCACAACGTGCCGAAAGAAGCACAAATCTGCAATAGAAGGAGGAATAAATTGGGCGATGTCTCCAAGAGAGAAAGAAGAACAAACACAAGTATGCCAAAAGCCGACTAGGTATGACGTTATATGGAGTTGATGAGCAAATAATTATGTGGCTGTTTTATATAACTCTGCATTAACGAATAAGTATGGGGACTCGACTAAGAAATCGAATGCCTTAATGCGTATAATCACGTAATCATACTGAAAAAAGATTCTCTGAAAAAATAGTTCCCGTTTTCCCGGACACGCGCTATCATTAATACCACAAAAATTCGGATAATATTATAATGTATACGTAATATCCATATTTCTATTTACTAATAAATTCAAGGGGTTCGTCTGCTTACAATTAGATTGTCAAAGTTGGATGCTGGAAAGGCTATACGTGATGTGGCAGTGGCTGAAACAATGCTCACCCCAACAAGCTGTAGACAAAAGAAGCTAAGTGAACCTGAATTTGTACCGGATTGGACTCCAAATAAGTCATATACGGAACAACTTCCCGGCAATTTGAACGCACAGACTCTGAACAACTGTCCTCTTGATTGGTACAACGACACCATGAAAAAATTGTCCAGAGAAGTTCGAGAATCATTCACCCCTTTGACATCTCAGCTTAGTACATCTTGGAATACAACATCCGATGAAACGAAGCAATCGTGTGTTGAAAATGCGCTCGAGGGTTGTCGTATTGTTTGTAACATGGTTGCTCCTATGGATGGAGACAAGTTATTTCAATGTATCAAACAATCGAATGAAAGTGTGAGCGGTGAATTGATAGCCTTGATGACGGCCTACAAACGCGCACCAACTAGAAACACGAAGATACAAATTTTAAGCATTTACGCGCATAGATACCCAAGAAAGGAACTTATGCGAATTCACGAACCCTATGAAAAGCTAACGAAATGGAAAATAGATAGGGCACGATTACATGCGACAAAGAGTGGTCCTGGAACTGCGCCAGAAAAGCACGATCAGCATCGAACAAGGCTATCAATGGATAAAGTGGATCACTTTCTAGGCTTCGTGAACCGACCCTATTTTTACCAGGACGTCGCGTTCGGAACCAGAAAGCTAAAACTTTCAAACGGTGATACAGTCTCCATGCCAAATGTTATTCGGACAGTTACCCGTTCAACGATGATTTCCCAGTACATGCAATACTGCGAGGAAGATCATTACCAACCTGTTAGTAGATCCACACTTTTCAGAATACTAGAAGTTAGAGAAGCATCGCAAAGAAAATCTCTTCAAGGTTTGGACAACACGGCAGCTGATGGCAGTGCAGGTTTTCAGACGTTAAAGCGAATCGTTGACGAGATGGAACACGTGGGAGTTGGAAAAGAATGGGCAATTGACATCAAGAAAAAGTTGGACGAGGGCAAAAATTATTTGAAGACGGATTACGTAGTACATTGCAAAGAATAGGGCAGTCCTTGTGCCGATCACTGTAGAATGCATGCGTTAAGTGATCCGACTGACGGCGATTTTCAGCTTGCGTGCAAGCATAAGCATGACATGGTATGTGGAAGGTGCGAAAGCCTCCGATCCGTATTGAAAGACATAGAAGAGATGCTCAAAACTCAATCCAACAAGTTTTATAGTAGCGAACAAATAGATGATATTCTGTTTGATTTAGCGAGGGCTAGTGAATCAATATTTGAATGGAAAGCCCACATTCTACGTTCCGTTCACCAAGACGAAGCCAAAAAAGATGTGTTTGAAAAACTGGATGGTGAGAGTTGTGTAGTAGTTATGGATTGGGCAATGAAATTCTTGCAGATACGATATCGCGAAAAACAGTCCGAATGGTTTGGGAAAAGAGGGCTAAGTTGGCATATAAGCAGTTTCGTTTTCAGAAATCCTGTGACGAAATTACTTGAAGTGGAATCATATGCTCACCTCTTTGATACATGTACACAGGATTGGTACGCCGTTTCTTCCATAGTTGAACACTTGCTTCAAGTCATCAAGACGAAATATCCAGCCATTAAGAAAGTTTCGCTTCGCTCTGACGAAGCTGGCTGTTATCACAACAGCATGCTGATCGCAACCATTAACGATATCGCGTCAAGACTAGACATGACTGTTGTTAGCTATGATTATTCTGAGCCTCAATACGGCAAGGATATATGCGATCGTATTATTTGTCCGATGAAAGCTGCGTTGAAGAAGTTCTGTAATGAAGGAAATGACATTCTTACAGCAGAGGATATGAGAAACGCACTATTACAAAGACACATCAAAGGTGCCACTACGACAGCTTGCTTGATTGATGATTCAAATACAACACTAAACATAAAAAAGATCAAACTGTTCACTAGGTACAATAACATTGGTTTTGAAAATAAAGGCATACGTGTGTGGCAAGCTTACAACATTGGCCCTGGAAAACTTATCGCACACAAAAGCATGTACATTGAGCATCAAAAAGCAACTGGGTTGATCATCAAAGGACATAATTTCTTTGAGGTGAAAAATCCACGGCAGCTCAAACCCACTGACGGACAAAAATCGAGCACTGCTTCTGATATTGTAGATGGCTGCCTGTTCGAGTGTCCAGAGCCAGGTTGTAGGAGAAATTTTTCGACAGTCAGTGAACTTGAGATTCATTTAGATGTCGGAAAACATGAGAACCTTTTGTTACAGGAAAACTTTTACGATACCATGCGCAGAGATTGGGCGGCAAGATATAACTCGGTAATTGAACCCTTGACCGGAACTCAACTGACGACCAGCAGTAACCAAAAAGAGCACGTGGCTGCTGTAAACATGGGATGGGCTATACACAAGCCAAAAACAGGAACCGTTAGATTCTCTACGACCATCAAGCAATATCTGACAAAAAAGTTTGATTTGGGAGAAAAGACTGGTCACAAAGCTGATCCCGGTGATGTAGAGATCGAAATACGAAATGCACGTTCTGAAAACAACGAAAAAATGTTTTCTCGGGAAGACTGGCTAACCAAAACACAGATACGCAATTTCTTTTCCCGTTTAGCGGCATCTCGAAGAAAGCAACAATGGGCTAATAGTGGAACATCAATCGATGATGATGTCGACGATGACTTAGAGTTGATGGAAAGTATTAAAGAACACAACGAAAATGGGGAAATACTCCAGGAAGTCGCGGACGAAATAGGATTGAAGCATCCAATTGTTTATGATGTGTACAACCTTTGTGAATATTACGCTGACGCGAAGATAGCAAAATTTAACATGCAAATGTTGAAAAAGATTTGTAACCACTTCGATATTTATTTTAAAGCGTCAAACAGAAAACAAGAACTCGTTGATAAAATAGTACACGTAGTTGAAGAATGTCCGTGCACTGAAGCAACTTAGGTATATATATTAATTCAACTTTAGTTTACGGCAGACTGCAAAAATAAGTTAATTAACTCGAACGATGCAAGTAGTACGTTGTCCCAATTATCTGCATATATAATAACACCAGTGTAAATTACTAAGCCTATAATGCAACAACACTGTCGAGAAAATGGTTATGAATCTAAACCGTAAACAAGCGAGACAAATGGTATGACTGTTGTGAAGCAAGTTATGTCCAACTGATGCTATTATATTGTTATATCAGTTTTATTGCCGTGGCAGAACTGAATTGACAACGCTGTTAACACCGGTTGCAGGACGCTGTCAAATGCTCCCAGAAAAACCTTAACGGCGCAGAAATTCAGAGCGTTTTTATCGACGTATATATGAAGTATATGGTGAGATACTTGCAAAGGTTAGCAACCTTTCCTTATATTTGAAAGTTTACTGTACATTAATATGATTATATAGCGGTTTGTTAGCGCATGGAACTATGGCATGCGATTGTGCATTTCTCGTCAGAATATGTTATTCTAATTCAATATTTATATTAAAACTCGACACTTTTTGTATGATGGAGTCGCATAATCTGGAAATATACCTTATGCATAATGACGTCACAAGGCTTGATGCCCGCGAGTAATGCTGGTCTTAGTAGTCATCGCCCGGGAAAATTAAACAATTCAAAATGGCCACTATCGAAATTTTTTCGGGCGATGACTACTAAGACCAGCATTCCTCGCGGGCATCAAGTCTTGTGACGTCATTATGCATAAGGTTTATTGACTGTCATTATACACTATATAGTCAACATTTTGTGAAAGTGTGTTTTGGAAAAATAGTTTTTTGTGGATCTATGACCACCAGGGCGCTTACGACCACAGACCGAAAATCTTCAAATTTCGCTGTTTATTTACTGCTCAGCTGATTAAATGCCCAAATTTTTGCATGTATTTTCGAATATAGGTAACTGTAGCATTAAACTCCCACCAAAAAGTATTTCGTATCAGGTGCCAGATTTGCGAAAATAGCCCATTAATACACCATATAATCGGTGACTTTGCAAATTATTAAAAGCGGGTTTCTTCCGCGCAATTATTTTCCCTCAAACCATGGATGGATGTCCGTGATTTTTTGTCCTACGAAACTATAAGCACTGATTGCTAAAATATTTTGATACATTAGACTCTCACTTACCTGCTTGCTTCGATAGAGTGGTACGAAAATGTCGTATTTACGGCAGTTTCTGGCCGCCATTTTGGACCTTTCAAGTTGTCAAGTAACGATGGGCCAAATTTTACAAAAAAAGCTTTTTAGCGCAAACCGATTTCCTTTTTTATCCAAGTACCTTAAAAGAAAATTATTGTGAGAAATTTGAAGATTTTCATTTTTCCTTCCAGAACTGGGTGCCCGGTTCTTACAGAGACAGCCTCTTAAAGTTTTTTTGTTTATAATAAAGCGATCGAATGTATATCATTTTTAGTGTATGACTATTTTCGAAGACAACGCTATTTTTAGCTCCCCGTATATGTAAACATTTACATCAGGGCCGTAGCGAGGGGCTATCCCTCCCCCCAACTTTTTTAGAATTAACATACCTTACTTGTATTAAAATTCGCGTCGTACTCATTTTCGTTCAGCTTTAAATTCGCGCAATTTAATTTCGCGCACCTTGTTGAGGCTTATTCGCGCAGCTTTAAATTCGCGCAAGTAATTTTCCGTGTTCGTTCTTTTTGGTTTGTTTAATTAGAACTATCAACAATTAACGCATTTATAATGAGTATTTTTTTACCAACAAGTACTTCAGTATTTGTTAAAAATGAATCAAAAAGCGATTAGGTGGCCTAAAAAATGGCTTCAAAATTATGTAATGTAAGCAAAATTCATGATAACAACATGATATTTAAAAATACCAACAAGAACTGAAAAATTTATTGTGTGGTTCTCATTTGCCTAATACAGTAACATAATGCAAATCAGTTAATAACTCAACTGATTTGCATTACTAACAATGAGTGTCTCATATTACACCACAAAGCTTTTCGCGCGGATTATATATCGCGCAGTACTAAAATTTGCGCACCCAGCGCTGCGCGAATTCTAGTACTGCGCGAATTTTAATACAAGTAAGGTATTCGGAAAATCGGGTTGGCCATTCGGAAAATTATGGCAATAATAGTATTGCAAAATTTTAGTTGTTAAACAAAGAAAATATAATATAATTGTATTATTAGTATAAACTGATTTACGAAATCATGGCATTTACATGGACAACATTTAACAAATCGTAAATCGGTAAATATTTCTTTGATTTATTGCTTCTAAATCGCAACTTAGCAATCGGGGCTGGGGGGCTGCAACCCTCCCAATAATATCCTAGCTAATAATAATTCTTTTTTTCAAAATCATGCAGACTTTTATCATTTAAATAATATACCTTTAAAATACTGACACTGAATTGATTAATTTTAAGCGGCTACATTATCCATGATGGATTCTTGCACTTCACTTGGTGGAATTAATATTAGAATGTTAGGGTTTGTAATCCAAGTGAGAATATACACATTTTAAGACCTAACCAGGAACGACTGCGAAAAATGCAGCACAAGGTCCTCTGGTAGGAATTGAACCTACGGCCCTGCGATTCCGGTGCAGCGCTCTAACCAACTTATCACAACCCGTACACCCGATTACCTATATATACATGAAGTTACGGTTACAGCTCTACAGCTGGCCTCTGTAGCTCAGTTGGTTAGAGCTCTGCACCGGAATCGCAGGGCCGTAGGTTCAATTCCTACCAGAGGACCTTGTGCTGCATTTTTCGCAGTCGTTCCTGGTTAGGTCTTAAAATGTATATATTCTCACTTGGATTACAAACCCTAACATTCTAATACATTATCCATAACAAACTGCAAAGAATCATATTACCCACACTTTCCTGCAACTGACTTCTCCAATATATCGAGTTAATTAAATACGCATTCGCCCATTTAGTACTACTAAATTGCAAGCAAATTGTAAATTTCGACAAACTAAAACGCTGTTTCCTGACCATCAGAATTCTGTCAAAATTTCCCCCAAAGTCCAGGAAATGGCATTTCAGAAACTCTAAATTTAAAAATTTCCTCGAGCATTCGGGCCTCGTTCTCAGCCCCCCAATCAAAAAGAGCTTCCTACGGCACTGCATGCGTATTTTTGTTTGTAAATTGCGTCTTCATTTTCCGGATAGCAAACGCCTTCGTGGCTTCGTATGCCATGAAATATTCGGAATTTTTTTTCGACATTCGGAAATTTTTGGCCTACACCCCCCCCCCCCCAACTAAACATGCTAGCTACGGGCCTAATTTACATAGCGCGCGAAGCATCATGGTTGACTGTGATTCTTTAACTTAAAGGATCACAGGAGGCCCAGGCTCGATTTGCCCGCGCCCGCCTGTGCCTTCCTTATAACGAGGGAAGGAAGGAAACATTGAGACCAAAATAGCCCAGACTGGCATATGTCACACGAAACTATCCTCGATTTTTCGCCTTTAATGCATTTCTTTCACGATTAATGGATATCCCCTGCAACAATGATACCGTATAACTCTCAAAACAACGATGCTTTAATCACAGAGCTTAAATTCGCTCTGAAATCCGTGAGGGAATAACAAAATTCGCCCAAAATATATCCGCGTGCCGGATTTGCTGGACAAAAAGCGGAAGTCGTTGAACAACTCAAAATACACTCAACCCTGATTGGACAACGAAAATCAACAAACATTTCAAATTTTTCTCCACTGGCAATGGGAAGGGGGACAGTACTTGGAACAGTACTGTAATAATTTGATTATTTGAATCAAAACAATTCACAAACGTTATTATAGTGACTAAACTTCTTAAATTTAAATATTTAGATTTGCACTGGTTTTCCCCCGACAACATTTGTTAATTGTTTTGATTCAAATTTGTATTACATTACTGACTACAGAAATTTGAAATGTTTGTTGATTTTCGTTGTCCAATCAGGGTTGAGTGTATTTTGAGTTGTTCAACGACTTCCGCTTTTTGTCCAGCAAACCCGGCACGCGGATATATTTTGGGCGAATTTTGTTATTACCTCACGGATTTCAGAGCGAATTTAAGCTCTTTGATTAAAGCATCGTTGTTTTGAGAGTTATACGGTATCATTCTTGCAGGGGATATCGATTAATCGTGAAGGAAATGCATTAAAGGTGAAAAATCGAGGATAGTTTCGTGTGACATATGCCAGTCTGGGCTATTTTGGTCTCAATGTTTCCTTCCTTCCCTCGTTATAAGGAAGGCACAGGCGGGCGCGGGCAAATCGAACCTGGGCCTCCTGTGAAAGGATGAGCTGCAAGAAGGGATTTTACATATGGTTTAATTTAATTACAAATGCAGGCACGGATACGAAATTTTTAACGCTCTCACGGACACGCCATGAACACGAATTAAGCGCGCGCACGGACAGGAGTTAGTTTGAAGCGCAAGTCAGCAATTATACGCAATCCTAACAGTTTTTGTTTAAATGTGCAACTATTTTAAAAGTTTTTTTTTATATCTGTAGTCACTTTTAACCTGACGATGGAGTTATACTCCGAAACGTAGTTATTAAAATAATTTTTTACTTAGCCTATATGGTCGATTAATTATTCAAATACAGAATTGCTAAAATGCGGCTTAGAGAAATTTCCGTCATACAAGATATATATTGGCGAACATAAATAGTTATAATATATTATTATATACACGGACCTTCAAATACGGCAGTGGAATTGGATACCGTAATACCGAAAAGTAAATGATTTCCTGAAAAAAAAACAAAGAAAAATTTCCTGGTAAAAGTTGAAAAATAAAATGCTTTATATATTATTATTGCATTTACTTATTTTAATACTATATTATTATTATTATGAAAAAATATCTACCATCCAAATGCCAGGGTATTGACACCTCTTGAACCACTGCACCTTTCTCGCTTAGTCTCTCAGCTGATTTTCTCACCAAGTCATTCA